TTTATCTGCACTACGTGCGGTACCGAATTTTGCTCCCACAAAAGCCTACGGCTGCACTCGAGGATGCATGCGCCAGTGAGAGCCAGACACGTCGATGCACCCGAAGGCACTCCTAACGCAACTTTTACTTGCCCCGAATGCGGTAATAAATCTATTTCTCGTTTCATTCTTCAAATTATTATAAATAATAACTTGATTTTCATTATAGGATTTTTTTGAAAGTGAACTTCTTGCAGAGTTAATTTTTTTTCTCTTTTCATTTCCAATGTGAAAAGAAAAAGTATGTTGTGGCAACATATCATTAAATTTTTTATTAAGCCATAATTCAGTATATATAAATATATAATATATATATATATATACAATAAAATATAGAACAAGTCCAAAAAAAGTCTGAACACTTGAATATCTGCTGTTTAAAAAGAAACAGAATAAAAATTAAAATTACAAAATTCGAGGATCACTAAATTACCACTATCGTTAAATAATTTTTTATGAGTGGATATGTGAAAGCATGGAAGCATTTAATATGATCTCTCAAATTATATATAAGATTTTATGTCTAATGATACAAGAATATTTTACAACACGATTTTGCATGAGAGACACAATATCAAGCATTTTTACTTTCGTTTTCTTAATATATTAATAATGCTTTACAGGTAAAACGCTCTCCGAGTCGTACAAAGACGCGCACATGGCGCTGCATACAGGTGACTCTGTGACTTGCACAATTTGCAACCGGAAATTTGATTCCGCGGACAGTTTAGCAATGCACGCGGCGGTGCACGTTGAGCAAACACTCTCGCGATCACCCACTCCACAAACTTTGATTTCATCTATTGTGGAGGCAACGACATCGGCGACAACTTCAACGACGATGCCAGCAGTGACAATGACCACAGCAATGGCGACAATGGCATCGACGATCGCCGTGACATCGTCAACCACATCGGTAACAACAGCGACGACAACGGTGACAACAGCAGATCCCGGCGACAGCCAGAAACCCTATCAGTGCCAGCATTGTGGACGCAGGTTCACCAGACCGCATGAGAAAGTCAAGCACGAACGAATTCACACTGGAGAAAAACCGCATGCTTGTGAGGTAGACAATTGTGAAATTGGGTCTTGTTAAGGATGTCAGATGTATAATCTCTATAAAAAGTCACTGGAATTATAGATTTGTACTTTCCATATAAAAATGAATTTTATATTCATATAAAATAGTTTAATAAAAGCAATAATATTTAACAGTACAATTTTTTGTAGTTTAAGGAACCTTTTTCTTATTTTATCTTGTTTGGTAAGCCAAAGTTTTCTATATAAAAATGCTGCAGTCTAATATGTATCTTGTCTTCCTCATTTGTTTAATTACTATTGTAATTTTTATTCATGTTGGCAGGTTTGCGGCAAGACCTTTCGCGTGTCCTACTGCCTGACCCTTCATATGCGCACGCATACAGGCGTGAGGCCATACGCTTGCCAGCACTGTGGAAAACGCTTCAAGGCGTCTTCCGTCTACAATCATCACCTACTGACGCACGGCGAGGAGCGCGCCTACACATGCCCATACTGCCCAAAGACGTTTAAGACACGGGTGCAGCTAGCCGGCCACAAGAACAGCCACACGAAGCCGTTCCGGTGCACTGAGTGCTCGCGACCGTTTGCATCGCTTTACGCAGTCCGCGCGCACATCCAGACTCATAAAAAAGACAACAATCTCAAGTTCAGCTGCTATGTATGCGGCGCTTCGTACGGCCGGGCATTCGCTCTCAAGGACCACCTGAAACAGCACGGCCAAGATATGCTGGCGCTACCGGAGCCAGCGCGGGAGGAGGAAGTACACCAGAACTTCCTCCTTGGCGAGGAGGAGATCGAGGAGGAAGAGTTCGCGGCCTCAACGCCGCCACCACCGCCGACTCCGCTTCCCATCGTCGCACGCCCCTCCGGCGTGGACGACACTGACTGAAGTCAATTATTGCAATTTGATTCTAGTCGCTGAATCGTAGCGCGTTCTGTAAGCTCATTATAAGCTTACCGTAAGTCTACGTAGACCGTCTGTGGAGACTGGAGAATTCGCGACTCACGGACGGTCACCGTGTTGAAACTTTCACGCGATGTCTCTGTATATTTATGCAGATTGTTACAAGTTCCACAAGTTGTTGCGTGAAGGTAGAGCGGATTTTTTTTTACCAAAACCAATCGTTATCGATTGAAATCTAATTGTACGTAAGTGTTGTTGACTCGTTGATAAAGTTTATTTGTTCGTATTTCCCGTATCGTTCGTTTTTCATCATATATTCGTGAACTTGATTTGTAAGTCGAAAAATTCATTATTAGAAGAAATTTTGATCCGCTAATATAAGTGTTATATTATCTCGATCAATTCAATTGGACACAGTTATGTCACGAGTTATTATCATCAATTAATTTGGAGTATGGGTGTTTGATTACTTTAAAAAAAGGGATATATATTATTTAAATAATTATCGATTGTAATGAATTTTTTCCTGCAATATTACAAGAATATATCAGCTCGATTCTCGTACTGCTGAATTACAAGCTTTCAAATATATTTCGTAATACAGAATGGTAAAAAAAATGACCACAAAATTTTGTGTTATCCAAGTAATAATTTAATAAATATACAAAACTGTGGGGCTATATACATATATTTTCTTTTTTGCATCAATGGCATTAAAGGCATCATTTGAACGTAAATATAACAACGATTACTTTCTGAGTAGTAATTTAAAAAAGTAAACTCTGAAGAGTTATTAAATCATTTTAATTGATGAAAACCGCTCTCTTGGCTGCCTGGGAGAATTTATTCAAGAAAAGATGTGCGGCCATGATTCCGAAGCCTCTTAGAGCTCATATCAAGAATAAAGAGATCATCTTGATATTAATTATTATTTTTGATATGATAAAATACTCCAGTGTTTATATTTTTATAAATATGCGATAATAATGATTTAAACACAAAACTTTGTGACAGAACTTTTTTGTCACCTTATATAGTTAATTAAAAATTGCATATCTCTGCATTGCGTACTTACACCCGACTAAAGCTATCAAAATTTACGAGGTGAGCGAAGCTCACGAATTACTCGTTGATGGAACTATCTATCGCAATTAGTGAAATTTCAATAGAGCCTAAGTTTTAAGTACGCGTTATTAATTTATTTGAAATTTCATGAAAAATGAATTTTTGTGATGTATACATATCGCGACAAACAAATTCGTTCTAGTTTTAATTTCATGTTAATTTATTAACAATGTACACAACGTAATGTATTTATGAGTCATTGTGTACGGCCACATAATTACATTAATATATATTAAAGTTATTCAAAAATAATTTTAAATTCCATGCACACGCAATTGGAATTTTATTTAGATGAAAATTAGTCTAAAATTATTTTAAATTTAGTACAATTGTTTAAGTCTTAATGATTCTTAATGTTACTCTGATTGTTACATGCTGTTGTTGTTTGGAAAGTATTTTATGACAAATTAAATTTTTAATTAAAAAAATTGTCAATCGAGTTGTTATTTCTTTTTTCTTATCATTAAATTATCTCCATAGTAAGAAAACAAGCAGTAATTCTAACAGAAAAGAGAATAGAAGATCTTGATATTACTTGTTATATATTTTTTTTTATATATCACTTTATGTGGACTGTTTCCATTGTCGATATAAAGTGAAATAAAAATTATAAGAGTTAGTTAATCTAGATAACATTCATTATCTCCTCTTTTCTTATACTTAGTATTTATTCGCGCACTATGCACCTGAGAGCACTTTAATGCACTTGTTGCAAGTTTAGTCATAATCGGTATAATTAAAGTTCTGAGATTGATTGCCCTAAATATAATATGCGTATTTAACTTTAGCATAATAATTGATACTTTCGTATTTGGTTGATTTATTTATGTAAGCGGTCTTGTTTCAAATATTAATTTTGTAAATGTGTTTAATAAGGCTAATGAGAATATATATTATTTTATAAAATAAAAATAATGTTTTGCAAAAATAACTCATGCAATCTGCTGCGACTGAAGTGACAGAAATTTTTAGTATTTCTTCGAAAGATAGTGTTGAGTCAAATCGGGAAATCCATCAATGACAGTCATATAATATACAGTGTATCCTAAAATGCTCGGAAGTCTTTCCACTAGCGTATTCTACAGAATATTTTAAGACAAAAACTTTTTATACAAAAATGTACAAACTATAATAGTTTTCAAATTATAAACGATTAAAATTGGCTAATTGTAGCGTCTAAAAATTGCGCGCTCAGAGGCGAAACATTGCGCGATTATATATTGACTTTATTTATTTGTAGGAAAATTATACGTTATTATTATCATTTTTTTCCAGTATATCAGAAATACGAAAAATTAATTTATTATTTAACATAATTTATTTAACAACTTTCTCAGTTCGATGTATTGATATTCTGTAATGAAGAGCTGATATTAATTCTAGATGTATAATTTAAATTAAATAATTACATACGAAACTTTTATATTACCGATAAAACTAAGCGTTTTTGACGTTTTTGTTCCTGTCTAATTTCTTCGTAGTAGTTTCGCAGAATAAAAATTCCTTCTCTACGATTTAAATATTCAATCTAATGTATCTGGCCCTGGTCTATATTGTATTCAAAGCTGGAAAAAATATAAAATTACAGACTTCTTTATCCATTTTTATCTTCAGCGTTGGTCGCCATACTGAGGTTAAATGGATAAAGAAATCTATGATTTCATATTTTTTCCAGCTTTAAACACAATATAGACTAGAGACAGATACATTAGCATGAATATTTAAATCGTGGAAAAGGAATTTTTATTCTGCGTGTGAAACTATATTATGAAGAAATTAGACAGGAACGAAAACGTCAAAAACGCTTACAATTTTATCGATAATACAGACGGGTCCTGTTCTCCTGCTATGATTTTATCGGCAGAGTCAGAAAATGGATGTGTTCCAAACATGATTTCCTCTCTAACCTAAATAATCGTAAACTTTAATGATTAATATTTCTGTTTGCGGGGCAGAGCAACGCTTTTTTCTGCCAGATTTTTTCATTTTATGCAAAAACGCGTCGACTGAGTATAATTTCATCAATTTTTGAGGTGACCGGAATAGATCGCACCTTTACCAAAGCTAAAAATTATAAAAAATGGTAAGTGTTTATGATATTGTGTCTTATTATATATTTTACTAGAGATATATATTTTTATTTCATTAATAAATACCTTATTTTCTTTTAGGCACGAAATGCAGAAAAGGCTATGTAAGTACAGTTTGTAATACCATCTGTCCTATAAATTCATTGCATATGCATATTTGCTATGAGAAGTTTTAATCCAACCAAAATTGTTAAAATGCTTAATTAATATAAGAAAAAAAATAATGAGCAAAATAAGTATAATTATGCAAGAAAATAGACTAGTTCTAGTTTTAATATGTATTAAAACTAGAACGATTTATATAATATACATAAAATTAGAGTGAACATGTTGATCACTTTTTCTGATCTCCTTTAATACAAATAAATATAAAAGATAATTAAAATTAGTCTAATGTAAAAGTACATTACGAATAAAGTTCTTTACTGAAACTGTTAGTGATGAGATTGATGTCATAAAAATATGTTTTGTAAATTAAATTAAATGCTCTGTGCAATTAAAAAGACTGAGTTTATAATTGTCACTAACTGTAATAATTTGATGAAAATGGTTATAAATACATCTTTGTGAGTGAAGACAGACAAATAAAACATTAATAAGCAATTAATAAGTAAAACCTTACAATTTACCTTCAGTCTGATAATGTATTAGAGATTTTTAACGAAATGCACAAATTGGTCAATATGGATTGAAATTCTTTTTCATTCAATAATGTATTCTTAGATTAATTTTATTTATATTTAGATTTGTACTGAAGAAGCTAAAAGAAGTGACCAAAATGTTTATTAATTTTATGTACAATATATTATATAAGAATAAATGTTTATTTTCTTGTACACTTATATCTGTGTTGGCTTATTATGGCTATTCTTACTCTTATATTTCTTTTGAAATTCTAAGCCTCAATTATTTTACTTATTTTTGTTTAATTAATGTTACCGATGTACATAATGATGATATTTTTAGGACAACGCTTGCTCGTTGGAGAGCAGCACAAAACAATGAAGGGACAAGGAAGGAACAGGAACGGAGGCCTTATTTGGCTTCAGAATGTAGAGACTTACGTAAAGCAGAAAAATGGCGAATGCAAATAATTAGAGAGATTGCGAAGAAAGTCGCCCAGATTCAAAATGCTGGGCTCGGGGAGTTCCGCATTCGTGATCTAAATGACGAGATTAATAAACTCCTTAGAGAGAAACGACATTGGGAAGTACAAATAAAGGAGCTTGGTGGACCTGATTACTCCAGGGTCGGACCTCGTATGTTAGATCATGAGGGACGTGAGGTAAAATCATAGACAATATTTTTTATAATATCTACAGAATATCTAAAGTTTGATTAAATATTTATTAGGGTGTTTACTGAAATTTTATTTAAAAAATATTCTTAAGAACTCCCAGATTTTTCAAGGTATTTTTGTTCAAAATTCCATATGAGATTAGAGAATTGTAAAATGTAACTTCAAAATAAATTAAAGTTTAAGCAATGCAAGTAAATTATATACTGAAAATTAGTAGAAGACAGAAATTTCATAAAACTATATTTATTATTTTATATAATTAGAGTTATGAAATTTGTAGATAGTATAAGAAAAAATGACTACAATATAATATTAGTGAATTATTTTATTCTGCTGAATATCTCTTCTACTCTCATCCTCATTTTTTTGATAAATACGAGACACGCCATACTGTACATAAATATACGTGGATGTGTATGCCATTCTTATTGTTAATCAAATATCAATATTTTGCATTATCAAGAAAAAATAATCGAAGAAACGATTTTTTTTTTTAGAAAGATAGAATTTTAATTTAAAAATAAAATTCTAAAAATTTTTTCGACAAAACATTACATAAACGTTCTTGATTTTCAACAGTAAAAGAAATCTTCTAAAAATTATTGATTTTCCAAGCATAAACACCTCGATGAAATTACAGGTTCCCGGTAATCGAGGTTACAAATATTTCGGAGCTGCTAAAGAATTACCGGGTGTTAGAGAATTATTTGAGCAGGAGCCACCACCGCCGCCTCGTAAAACTCGTGCGGAATTAATGAAAGATATCGATGCGGACTATTACGGCTATATGGACGATGACGATGGTATTCTAATACCATTGGAACAAAAAGCCGAGCAGGAAGCGAGAGAAAAGTGCATTAACGAATGGGTAGCTCACGAGAAGGAACCGGAAGTCGAGATTGAGACAACGGCACAAAAATTGATTCCTTCGCAGCAGGATATTCAGGAAGCCTTGCTGGTTAGAAAAAAGAAAGAGCTGTTAGAAAAGTACGGGCTAGACTGAAGTTGAGGTGTGACATTTTGTTTGAAATTGTACAGACTGGAATATCGATATTAAACTATTGATAATTGATATGCGATATTAACTATTGATAAATTTATTATTAGTTTAATTATATATTAGAATACATTTTTATAAAACGCGATGAATATAATAATTATTAATTTATAAGCATGTAATAACATTGATTAAGATAATTAGTTTGTGCAGTAGACATTCAAACTTGAATGCTTATCAAGAGAAACGGGTGTCGTAGATGAAAATATAGATAAAAATCCAAGGATAGAGTCTGTTTATAATCATCGCGATATCTAACACTTCTCCCATTATTTCGTCATTTTTCGCAACGGAGAATAGGCGAAATGCTTATTCCACAATAAAATAGAATAACAGAGTAGGTACACATTGTTCTGTAAGAAAATCTAGATATCGCACGTTCTCGTTTTCGCAAATGTATCGTTGGAATATTGCAAAGTATATCGTGTGTTCTTCAATTCGACCTTGGTTCTCTTATCCTCTCGATACGGTAAGCATCTATTAACAAATAACTTCTATCTAATCCTGCAACATGAGCGTAAAACTCTAGAATAGATTTAAAAACAGGAAAAATAGTTTACTTCATATGTTTGAATTTTTTTAAGATTACTCTTAATCGTTCCTAGAACAATTCCGTTTCGATTGCAAATATTACAAATAAAGAATGGTTATTGATACCAAATTTAACAACGTATCCAACAAGTTCACAGCCCACTCTTATAACGGACCGTAATCGTTAATCTCCGAATGTTAAATGTAAGATACGCAATAGTCTTGCTAAAAAAGAGATATATTTTTCGTGAAAATTCATCCGCGTTCTCAGAGGATCTTGATGATCCCAGTGTAGTGAAAATGTAAAATAGAACTAGTCTGGTCGCTTCCTACATATCCAACAGCTTATCACGCAAAGTGAAAAATGTGGTAAGATTAACGTTATTGTAATTACATTACACCGTTATTTACTTGAAAGAGTAAAAGACCTAAATGTTAAAAAACTACTCGCTAATTAAATGTATGTCACTCAGGTGCTGACTAGAACTCTTGGAATTCCCTATAATTCCAGTTCGTGTTATAGAAAACGAATGATATTAATCTTCAAATCGAAAGATTGATATAACCGCTACGTCGTAAATTGATTTTAAATATTTGAACGCTCGTCACCTTTTTAGCATCGTGCCGTTTATAAACAGACTGTACATTATACGATAATATCGCTAGGACTCAGAAGTACTCTCTAATAATATTAGCTAACGATGCATGAAACAAATCGTGTTACGCGTGTACTTCTATGTGTGTGTATATGTGTGCGTGCGTGCATGTATGTGTGTGTAAGTGTAATAATACAATATATATGATACTCACATGTCATTCACACACACATTTAATGCTAAATGGGGTGGCATTTTTACACTTTTACAATAGTTGTAGTATACTTTAAACATCTGATTGAGGAAATTTTCCCATTTAGCCCGTTTCTTTTATGCTATAGAAAATACATAGTAAATCTTTGAAAAAAAGTAATAATACTGCCAAAAATATTAATGACCATTTATACAGGTTGAAAAAGGGTCCAAAATTTTGAGAGTTGATTTAAAAAATGCTTACACCAGCATATTTTTAAGAATATGTCATATTGATTTTGCTCGATTTCAGGCAATTCACTATCGATCTCTATTGACTGAACACAAACTTAACCCTAGCTATACATACTTTTTCTATCCTTGATATACACACGCTCAGGTCGCTGGAAAGCTAGGACTCCATCCATATTAGCGTAACTTCCGTAAAAATGGACATATTTCAATTAATTTTTTTTCAATAAATGAAGAACTGATTAAAGAACAAGCCCATAATGTATAAATATCGATAGAATTAAGGAGCTTTGAAATATACGTAGATTTAAAGAAAAAGAAAAGTTCAGAAACGAAGAAAGAAAATCTCGATTTAGCAAATTACACTGGAGTTTCTGGAACCCTGATATGTGTAGCAAGGGTTAATGTCGATACAATAAATGCCAATATTCTACCTAAGTCAGCAAATTACTAATGTTAATGCGTTAATTAAAACATGCGTTTTGCTTTTTGAGTTAATGATATTTTGTGATTATTTTAACATTTTATGTTATTTGTATATAAAATTTATTTTTTATGACATAAAATGTTAAAATAACAAGAAGGGAATTGATTTATGTAAAAAGAGATGTGTGATTTTCTACATAAAATGCAAACAAGTCATTTGTATTGTCAAAGTAAGAAATCATATCTAACTATGACACAAAGTTAAATTTTTTAATTAAGATAATTATTTCTTATTTCTTTAATGAATATCCTTCAAGTTTGGGATTCTTTCTTTAAATATCCTGTATAAATGATTTATGATGATAATGTATAATTATTATACAATCTGCAAATACCATTCATCTCGGTTATCTTTTTACACACCTTAACAGTTTTGATGTCAGAATTAAATTTACCTGCAAACAGACACAATTAAATTTTTATAAAAATATCTTATATCCCTCATTTTTTAATTACTCTACAACATATTCACGACTTTCAAAGTCGAAGGAAGCAATATTTGCATGTGAAAAAAATTTTTTAAAGTTTAATCACTGGATCTATAAATAAAAGATAATTTTGTTAGAATATCAGACACTAATGCTTAAAATGTTCTAGATTCTCCTATTGTAAATTGTCGTTTGCAATATTAGTTTGTCTTCGCACATACAGCGCATGTATTGTACGTAAAAAGAAAGCTTAGTCGTACAATAAAAACAATTGTTCGTGTTCTAAAGGAGATTTCTGAGTCCCTGCAATTATTTTATTCCTAAAATGTAAATGATAAAATAGTTCGAGCATGGATTAATATATAATCATGATGAAGATTTACTACTAGAGGCTTGAAAAAGTCAAGCGTTAAATGATTCACAGCATCTGTTTGTCCATTAATCAGTCGCTGGCTTTGTCCACTGATCTAGGGGTCCCCTAACGATCCTTTGGTCTAAGGCTACTTCCCATGTTATTACTATGTGCCTTTATATCTTAATGACAATATCAAACTGCTAATCACGCTTCTCAGATAATTAAGAAAACTTTTATAGTTTTCGATGTAAGGCATAAAGAATTAATCAAAACAAGAGTATAGTACATATGAAGTTAATATATCTTAATGAACAGAACTTTATATGTATACATTTATATGTATACATTGATTCCATAATATAAATTATTTTATGAATATTTAAAATGCTCAAAAAATTATATTCTACTTAAAACGACTTAAAATAAATATTTTTTTATGAATAAAATAAAAATAAAATATAACTAGATTTTGTTCTTCGTTTAATTTCAATGTTATATCATGGAAATATATGTTTAATATATTTAATATCAATTATAAGATAATATATAATTAAAAGATACGAAAATAAAAAAGACAAAGCTCAAACATTTGCTAAACAAAGTGCATATATATTTAATTAGTCAAAAAATCTGTAAAAAAAAAGAAAGAAGAAAGCAATTTGTAGTTTTTTAATATTTTTGTACATTTTTATATTAAATCAGTTTCTCTCATCTCATAATCTAACTTGTAGGCATAAATTTATCGCGTCTTTAATCGTATCCTCTACTTCTGCGTTCCTCTAATATAGCTATTGATAGAACCCCTTACTCAAAAATACTAATATTAACGCATAGATTATGCCACGTTCCTAGCGTACGTACTCGTGATCGTGTATGTTTCTATTTCAATTATAATATATCGACTCTACAATCACATTTGCATTTACGAAGTGCGTTTTGCGAGTCATTGTGCGTCATTGAATTGTCAAACTGTTGGTCTCGTGTCTCATCTCGATCCGAGAAGTCTTGCTATAAACCACTACCGCCGTCACGTCACGGTGACAATTGTTTCAGCTCCCGCATGTATCAATCCATTCTCGAACCATCTCAAGACACCAATGCCCGTGTCCTAAATCTTATTTTACTATAATATTATTACGTTTGCTATCCATCCAAATTCTTTGTTCTTTTTTTTTAGGCATACCTGAAGGGAACGTGAGATACCAATTGTAAGTTATAAGCTAGAAAACCAGGACACAACAAGGAAACTTACTCAAGTTACTCTGATTTTTGGATGAAATTCATATTTTGATTTCGCCTTTACCAGTAAAGTATGCTTCAGGAAACATCCTCAACTGTTTCAGAAATATTATGATGAGGTGTGACCCCTTCATGCACAGTCCGTTATAGGAATGCCATGTTAAAAAAAAGCACATACGGTGTATGTGTGTTTCAATTTATTTATTTATGTATAAACTAACAAAAAATAATGTTTTTCTATAAAACTATACAATAACTGTGTGTGATTGTAATTGCAATATGTTTTTCGTGATATTTGTTAATGTACCAAATTTTATCAATTTTAAAGATATAGTGGATTTTGCGCATAAAGAAGTCACTCTTCTTAACTACAAAATCTTTAAAACGTTTGAGATCGAGAATTTTCTCCGAAGCGTGGATATTTTACTGATAAAGATGAAATAAAAATCGGAGTTTTATACCAAAATCAGAGTGACAGTTGAAAAAGTTCCCTTGTAAGTGTGTCGTCATAAAAAAGCTACTGCATATAAATAAGTGTGTAGATGTACATATTTATAAGCGCCTCAACAAGTGAAACGTGTAATGTAAATTTTGTTCAATAATGTCAATTAATATTAGTTTATTAACAATTCAATAGTAATAAATTATTTTTTCGTTATTTTTGTGATCAATCTTGGTGTCAGATCTTAATCTTAAGCTTAAGTTATCAGCTAAACAATAGACTAAATTCATCACTGATATTTTTCGTTTATTTTAAAATTCATCATTACTAGGCATCTACGTTCATTCATGCATGCCCAAGTTATAGTAACACAATATTCAACAAAAACTAATTTTGTTAAATCCAAAGACAAGAATATAATTATTTTCACAATGTTTTCTTTCAAATTAAATTTCTTATTTCTATAATATCTTGTCATGTCAATTTTGAAATATGTATGTGAGCTATAAAGTATAATACAAAAATGTTTATATATTGTTAGAACTCCCAGTCTTTAAAAGAAAATTAATATGAATTTAAGTTTTAGATTTCTTTCACGAAATTTTTTTTTATTTTTTTAAGGGGAACACCAGGGTGACGAGTTTTAAAAAATCGATTTTTTTTTATTGCATTTTTGTAATGCTTGGAGTCTTAAAAATATGTCCCTATAATATTATGTTGAAATTCCTAACGGAATAATAGTAAATATGTGATAGAGTAGAACGTGGTCAGATGCCGCTAGGACATTCAGCAGTCCCCTTGATCTGCTTGTAGGCAGTTTTATCGGTATTCTTTCGTTTCCTGTGTGCTTTAGTCGTGAATCTTCATATGCACCCGGATTGGACGCACTTTGATTCGTTACGAAATTTTATCGTTATATATAAACTAATCGGTTGTAAAACTTTAAACGTGTTTTTCTCGAAACCACGTTTTCGTAACTGGGCGCTTACATATCTCGGCAAATTTTTATCCGAATGATTTGAATTTTGGACAGAATGTTTACAATGAAATTGTCTTCAGTTGCACGTACGAACTTTTCAATCGGATTATTAATTTTTGAAAAACAATTAAAAAGATAACGATTTTTTGTCGCAAAATCGTGACTTTTTTTTTTTTAAACAGCGCCATTTTGTTTAAAATTATTTTATCAAAAATTCCGTACGTGCAACTGAAACTACACTCATATACTTTAAAATAAAATAAAAAAAATTTATTTCAGAGCTCCCGTTCAGACGCAGCACGAGCGCCCGTGCACCCATGTTTTTTCAGACGAGGTGCACATCAATGAATACTGAAGCTACAAATATTAATATTATTCAATAAATTTTTTTTAATAATTTCGTAAATGTATGTGTACTTCGCATATATAAAAACAATAATTCATACAAGCTATCAGTTTTTAAAAAAAAGTCACAAAAAGAGTCTCTTTTTTCGGCCGTCACCCTGGTGTTCCCCCTTAATACGATTTTTCCAAATTTCTATATAAATTTCTAAATTTCTCAGTATCACCTTTTAGAAAATTTTTTATATTTTTTTATATTTATTGAAGCAATATATATATATAATTTTTTTTTCAGAAAAACTAAGAAAATTTATATTTTTCTAGAATTTTTATATATGTGAATTCTAAAATAATATAAAATTTTTCATGTACAATATAATTTCGAAAAAAAAACTGATAAACTTTGAAAAAGTTTAAGAGGTTTATTTCAGAAATTTTTATAAATTTAAAAAGAAAAATTCTTAAAAATGTTGCAAGATATGAGAATTTTTCCAGAATACCTTCATTAAATACCAATTAGGATATTAATTCTGTTAAAAAAAAATTATTAATTATAGTAAAATATATCTGCTTTAATTTTGAAGAGAAAAATATTTTAATATATTATATTCGGTAATTGGTGAGACATATGGAAAATTATATTAAAAAATTCTCTTTTATTATATTAAGTTTTACTTAAGTTTCTTAAAACTTTGACATGACAAATATATAAGAAATAATTTCCTTTTTTGAGTTTTTTTTTGTTGAGCTTGTGTAATAAGACTAATCGATAAAGAAAAATCGGATGGTTATATTCAGTGTCAAATACATGCAAGAACACGGGCCCAATATTCGCTACATTGATTCATATGAATAAACACAAGCAGATCGGATATCGGGATCGAATATACAATTATGTACGGTAAGATTGGTTAATATCGACACAATGACAGAATAATAGTAACGATTTATGATTTGAAGAACAACGATATTGTGTTTAGATACATATCATATGATATGATTATAATGGATAATGCATTCATGCATTTGGTATTATAGAAAGATGGTATTAATTAAAATTCTTTGACTTAAAAAAATTAATTTCTTTAACAGTTTTAATAATTTTAATTGAAAATTATATAACAAAATTATTACATTTTTTAATCTAAGAATATTCTATGTTTGAATTTAATATGTAGAAGAGAGAAAAAAACTAAAATTTTTTAATCTCAAAAATTGACAAAGTATACAAATAAATATGAAACTTTTAAAGAACTTGTGTTATCACCAAATCTCGCCACGTCAAACAAGAGTTTACCTCGAATATTCCGTTTATTATCTCGATATTAATTTATATTTATTTAGAATAGCCGTTATAATTGAAACAGCAAAAATTAAAACATATTGACAATTCCGTTGTTATTCTAATACACACAACAGCTTTACAAATAACAAGCATGACCATACAATAGTAATTCATTGTGTCGATGTTATCCTACCTCAGGGTGGACACACGAATCACACATTTTCTCAAATTTTCCAAATAAGAGAAACTTTGTTTTCCAAGGAAACATTTCAACCATATGTTTCCTACATTAAAGTACTTAACTTTAATTTTCTATTAAATCTCTGAAGATTTAAGTAACTTTTTTTTAGGCTTTGATACAAATAAAATCGAGAGAGCTCGATTTTCAATATTTTTACTAAATCACAGGAACTTTTGGCTCTTCCTGCATTTCAACAATTATGGAAAAACTCTTAATTTTTCTAGAGCATTTTTCCCAATCCACGCGAGAATATTTTCCGGATTCTCGGAGTACATTGAGAACGATTGAAGAATCCTGGATCTTCTATCGCGTAACCACCCTGCATCTTAAAATATGAATTATGAAGTCAAGAAATGTAACCATTTCTATTTTCGAAGTAACGTCATTTCAGACATTGAAATTCCGCTTACATTTTACGACAATCCTCCATTTAGCGTGGTGCGCGGCATAAAAAGGGTGAAAGGCACAAAGTAAAAAATAAATGATTCAGATTGGCTCAGGCACATGTCGAGTCGGAGAGCACCGTACCATGTGAGGACAGGTACGACGATTGGGCCGGAACGTCGATAAACGTTGGGACAACGATCACGCGATCGTCGGGACCCTCAACATCGAAGACTAGCCACACTGCTCCCATCAGCGTATCAAAAAGGAAATGTACTTGGTACATTTAGACAAGAGTTTGTAACTCAGAGTTTACAGTATTCCAAACAGAGCATTCCGAACAAAACAAAAATCTGGCATGTTTCTAAAATTTCAATTTAAAATTTGACTAAAAGTCAGAGATATCTCTTGGATATTTAGAACACCGTATAGACATTGCTATTTGTTTAACAAAGCTTTAAACATTAAGATATTTTTTTACATTTTGTGTTGTTATTATCATATTTCAATATTTATTATTTACTTCATTTAACAGACACAGAAGTTAAGAACGCTTTTATTGTATATTACCTGGACACTCTTGTATTGTTCGTGCTCTGATTTGGAATTGACAGACCGATTGGAATATTGACTTCCGTTCTTCAACCAGGCAGTACACAGTGTGTCTCCATGAGATAAGGAGAAAGAATTGAAATCTCTCTCGAGATAAAGCCTGCCGCGATCAATTGTTCTTCTCTAGAAACGCTCATCTATTTCCCGTACTCCTTGGCGAGTGAAATCGTTTCACGCCCAAATAACTGCATCAAGAATGTGAATCCATGAGAGGCACTCACACAAAGACACCTCAAGGACGCAGTAGCGAATGCCAGCGTTGCACTTGTACTGGTTGCCTTGCCATCCGCATGTCGTTCCAATGCTGTAGCTCCTCAGATCCGGAACTGTTAAGACCCAAACAGAGCCAGCCGATCATTTCCCGTCCTTTTCTGCCCATTCCACCTCGTCGACGATTATACACAGAGAGGTAGAGTGTCACGTCTCCCAATTGGAACAACGCAACCTTAAAAAAAACCACATATTATTTAACATAATTATATTTTACATACTTAATAACTTTCATTAACCCTTTAACTACGAAAAGTATGATATATATACATCCTACGAAAGTAACTTCACTTGGAATGGTAATTTTACAATGTGCTCTTTGTTTCCTGTTTCTTGCTGTTTGTCTCTTACCTTTTGATAACAAAAAAAGAGAGATAAACAGCAAGAAACAGGAAACAAAGAGCACCTCGTAGAATTACTATAAAAGACATATGTATATATTACTTAGCAGCTAAACTTGCCAAAAGTATGTGGATAATTTCCATTTACTAACATAAATTGTTCTATCTTTCCACGAGTAACAAAGAACAATACTTGCATCGACCAAATGGAAAGCATCCCGTATTGCAAACTGTGTGTCATTTATTATGTTGAACTCCGGCAACAGTCGAGCAAACTTTACCGTTTTTATAATTTTACAATTATAAAATTTTACAATTATATTTAGAAACGTATCTTTTTTTTAGTACAGATGCATTAGAAAATGAACAGACTCTATATTATCACATCATAATGGCAAGGTATGTTTCACTCCTGCTACATTTCTGTTGTTATGTTTTTTGTTATAGCCAATCAATCTGTAATAGCAAAAACCAAGAGAAAGGACACAGTAGATATGAATCTATCATGATTGCTGATGTACTCTAGCATTTTACTACTTGGGTAAATTAATACCATCACAAATCAAGTGTTAGTTGTTATAAAGTCATGATTTTCATTTAAAGCATATCGCAGTTAAAGGATTAAGAAATAAAAAAACGAAGATTTCATAAAAAAAGCTACCTGAAATATAAAAGTCTCCTTATAAAGGGGATTCGGTTGGGCACGTTTTAAACCAGTTTTAGATCGGCCCATTTCATGATTATTGGTATCAACAAGAGCCAATTTGACGTAAGTATCGGGAGGTTTCGTATCGTTTCCGCCTCCACCACGGAAATGGGAACCCTTGATTATTTCAACTGATAAGCGGCCTGTCGTCCCGTTGTACGCCAAACCGATTAGGATTTCAGCAACACTGCCTCCCTTCATGCTGCTGCCGTAAGGTGGTATAGCTGGAGAAGCATACGACTGGACCGACTGTTGAGATCCCGTGGAATCGCTACGAGTTAGACTACTGGTGGTTCCCCAATCCTGTGCCTAGAAAGTGTAACACACAATATCCATCTTGGCAAATTATATTATTTGTAAATACATTACACATCGGTTACCTAAAGAGGTATTAATAATATTTTTGCTTAATTAACCCTAGCTATATACTTTCTTTCTATCCTTGATATACACATTCGAGTTCCTAGTACCCTATCTATATTTGTTAGCGTAATTTCCGTAAAAATGGATATATTTGAATTATTTTTTTCTTCAATTGGAGAATTGATTAAGGAACAAGTTCATAATGTGTAAAAATCGATAGAATTGAGGAGTTTTGAGATATATAGATTCAAAGAAAAAGTTCAGAAATGCGAAAAAATCTCGATTTAGCAAATTGTACTGGAGTTTCTGAGACTCAGTGTGTATAGTTAGGACTTCTAGAAAAATTTACCGAGGAAGAAAGTGGGGGTTGAAGAGTTAACCACAGGGTCGTTTCCAACTGGAGATTAATGTGATCGAAAGACACTCTGGCTTCGCCCAGCAATCTTTCCCGACGCATCATTCTGCCACCCCACAGATATACTCTGAGTCGTACTCCCATTGCATTTACATCTTCTGGATTTACACGAGGAAGCAAAAAACTCTCCATGTATTGAGGAGATGTCCCTTGTCGAACTCGTGTCTTACGTCTTTGTTTTTTTGATGGTAACAGAACTAGTCGCACCTGACTGCCATTAATGCCAGGAGGATAATTCCGCCCTTGTAAGACGTGAACCTGGGAAAATAATATTCCATTTGACAATTTAAAAACGAATATAGAAATTCATTATTTACAATACAAAATAAGAAATAACATTTTAGATAATAAATAAATTTTATATATATTACATATATAATATATTAATTATAAAATTATTTGTATAAGATATATTTTCAAGATTTTTATGTTAAAAAAATTTTATTTTATTTAAATAAATATTCCAAAATAAAAAATCATAATTATAAAAATTAAATTAACAATTAAATGTTAATTATACGAACTGTCATCTCACGCATTGGGGCATCATACAGGAAAGCGACTTCCAAACTACCAACTTCCTCGGAAACCACTGTACCCATCGTTGTGATGACGTCATTGGTCGTCGAATCATTTTGCTCAACTTGTATCTCCTGCTCTCGATTATCGAGTATAATGCTAGAAGCCCCAACTTCCACCACGCACTAAACAGACAAAACAGATGCTGAATGCAAATTCCTTCTTGTCTAAGTCTCTGAAAATTCTTTTATCATTCGAATTCTTTTAAGAGTTTTATTAAACACAAGGAATAAGAAATCACCTGTTGTTGATCTGCAGGAGAGTGTTCCTCAGTGCAGCTACTGGAAGTAGTCCCAGCATCTACAAACATATAATTGTTATGTAATAATATTAACAGATAACAAAAATATATACTTTATAATTATCTATGAAGTACTCTTATTTTTTAATGTTAATATAACAATATATGTTTGTATAGATTAACATAAAATAGAATTTTGTATAAATTACGTTCAAAGTATAGAAACACCACAGAAAATAAATAGGTAATATTTTTCAGCATGATTGCTATCATGGAAAAGATCGATATAATAAAATACATCATCGTATCAGCGATATGTGTTACGTATATACGTATAAACTATATAATTAATTAATTACATATTTGTTTTAAACACATCTTTTTTCAACATAAATTAATTTATCTGATTACTCTGTGTACAAAAGTATTAAAAGTAAAATTATCAGAAAACGAATGTTTTGATGGAAAGATATGTGATCAAGATAAAATATAAAATATTTAGTAAGTTAATGATTTTTACATAATATCTCTGGTGAAAACACTTGCAGAAATATAGAAAAATTTTGTTTTGTTACCGTAACTCACCTAAGATAGTCGTTGGTCCGTCCTCCGCTTGGATAGTCAACGTATCCGGCGGAGGAAGTGAACGTGAATTTAATCGTCGGAGAGCGTCTTCCTCTGAATCGGAGCTTGTTTCTGGATCTGAATAGGAGAATGCCTTCCCTATACAGTAAAATTATATTGATTAGTATATGAATTATTCGTATCACGAAGAGAACCGCGAATATGTTCTAATCTACAAAAATTTGGTAATTTAAAGTGATACGATTATAAGTTAATTGACTTTACGTTTTATTTTGTAGATTTATTTGGATTTGAAACTATTACTCGTAAACACATTAAGTGTAATAAGCCTTAAGTCTTAAGGAATTAACTAATCATAGTCGATTATTCTTCTCACATTCAACTATGTTGATCAGTTTCTTAAGGCTTAACACTTATTGTGTTTGCGAGCTGATCGCAATCAAGACGAGTAAAACTTTAAATAAATTGGAGTATTTGGAATAATATAAAAATTTTCAAGGAGATCAAGAGTTGGAAATCTAAGGTGTAAACCAAGACCATGTACCTATGCTTTTCGAGATTTGAGATGTGGAGCTGTTGGTGGAATCACAGAGAGGCACACAGACTCCGCCGAAAAGCGCGGTGGATGAGGGAGGCGTGAAGCACCACTTCCGGGACAGATAAAGGAAGAGAGCTAGCAGGAGCACTATAAAACCGGCAACGGCACCCAAAACTGCAGTCGCTTCCACAGGTACTGAAATAACATATCGACAAATTCTCATTGAATTAAATTTAATTTGTTAAGAGACATAATTTTCATAAAATTTCTTTAAAGGAATATAAACTTTTTAAATCAATATGTAAAGTTTTTTAAAAAAATATGTACTATTTTTTTAGAGACAATAATATGTATATTACTTTTATTATGAAATAATATCGTATTTATCTAATACAAGGCAACTATCAGCACATTATATTAATATTCTTCTTATTTGCTTTTTGAATGCAGGACATTTTGTTTCATTTTACTGCACGCAGTTAATTAATTAATGTGTAATATCAGAAACAGATCCATAGTTTGGTCTATATATACTGCAGAATATATACAGAATGTATGCAGAATATTTCTATTTATTATTGTGCAATTATAAATGAAATAAAAATAATATATATACAAGACATATATATATATATATATATATAAACTTTTGATTCTTTCTTTAACTAGTATAACACTCTGAGAATGCAGTTAGAACGTTCATCACACATCACGTCATAAATCATATCATAAACTAAATAGAAAACTAAATAATAAAGAGCAATGAGAGTGCAATACAGTTATTAATACATTCTTTGGTAAAGTATGTGTTGTGACATAATAATTAAATTTAAAATATTAAAATTATTAAAATTGAAAATTACTATTTAATCATTATATATTTATTACTTTAATTAATGAACCTTTTACAGCAATAAATATAATAAAATGTGCGAAAAAATGGACTCGAAAAAACTCGAATAAATTTAAAAAGATATGAATAAAGACAGATAAGAGTATAAATAAAAAAAAGTTAATAAACAATTAAATAACAAAATAAACTAAAATAAAATAATAATGTAAACCGAATCTTTTTCGTACGAGTTTTCGTTTTTCTATGAAAATTATAAAAATTGAAAAATCACAGAATTATTATTTGTTATATTTATTACTTTATTTAAAGCATGTTCTGTACAGCAACAAGTAAAAAGAAAAAGTGCAGCAAAGTGAATACGAAAGAACGTAAATAAAAAACAGAAAGGAGCATAAGTAAAAAAAAAAGTGAAATAAGCTAATAAATAACTAAATGACAAAATAAATAAAAATAAAATAAATAATTTAAATAAAATGGACTGAAAAAAAGTAGACTGAGTCTTTTCCGTACAAGTTTTTACTTTTCCCAGAAAACCAATTGCAAAAATGAAAAAAATCGTTCGCGTACTTTCACTCTCTTGAACTTGGGATTTTAGCCACGATAAATATCGAGTGTACCGTGGTCGTCGTATCGAGCGCGCGTTAACGCGACATATTACGCCGTATAATGACCTGGAATAATTTATTATCGCTCCAGTTGTGACAAACTACCTGCGGATTACACGGAATTGCGCAGCGTTACACGCGTACGTTTCCCCCGAGAGTGCGATGCGAGAGACGCGCTAAAAAAAAAAAAAGAAAAAATTAAGTCTTTAAGAGGGGACCGGCAGGTTCTCTCCAATTATTCAACTTTCCAATCGCAATTGATTTATATTTCAACGTGAATATCGGCACCTTCCAGAAACGTCGTCGTTAACAAAACATCGCGCTCAAGGAACTTTGGAAATCTGCTCGCGCAATACAGAAATCGTGAAGGATTCCCGATATCGCATGACAACCATCTCTTTTTTTTATATATCCTTATAATTCTATCTTCTTACGATCCTAAAAGTCGAGCGCAGATTGAAGGGACTGAAGGGATCCAGTTAGAAGCTAACAGCTAACGATATCGATTCGAGGCCCGTTTTCCAATTGAAAGGAAAAACAGAGAGGAGTCCGCGTTGTTCGTGAGTAGCGTGTTTGTCAATTTTTCAAACGGACGATTTATTCGATATCGTAATCGTGAACGAAATGCGCGGATATATCGCTCCATAATCAGAATGAACGGAATAATATCGTGTTTCGAGTAAAACTGGAGAGGGGTTGTCTTGAGACGAAAGGGATAGCACGGGGAGTCCGCGGTCCGATCACCGGATAGTGGACTTACCCGCCAAGAAGTGGTCTGATCCAGCCAGAATCATACTCGTCCGCGGTGTCGCATTAAGGTGGTTTCTCTTTACGCGGCACGATAGCGCGCCCGGGATTGTTTCTCGCGGAATAACGAATGCATTATCCGCCCGGAAACGGGATCTGTCAGGCGGTCGCTGTTGAAACCCCGTTGAAACGCGAGGGAAGCGCGGCTGGCTAGCTTCGGGCTAGCTAGCCGCACACACAAATAATACGTGGGCGGTGGGCGGGGGTTGTACACACGGGGGCACTCTGTTGCTCGGACCGACGCGACGTGGTGCGCCTGCTGCACTGAAACCCGTCGTACGTGCACGACGCGTGCGCGACAGGCAGTGACAGGAGCGGCGTATTGCTCGGCAAGCTCCAGCAAGCTCGGCCGCTCTCGGTGACTTCGGGGTGCCTTCCAACAATTAACAGTGGTCATGTGACCATCTCATCCTTGTTTGACATTGGCGAACAACAAAGATGTAATAATACACATGTGTCACACCGTGTCGATCATCTGTGTCGCTTTGTTGGAAGGCACCCTCGGTCTCTCGACAGTCGGCGCGAAAAATGCAGTTTGGAAGTATTATAATTTATAGTCACTTTTTAGGTCAACTCTATAAATTTATTATTATTCTAACCATGCATTATAACTGCTTCAACATCGATATACGATCATTACAGCGCTATGACGTGCATTAAGCTTTTCTTTACCAGTTATTATTTTATTATTTTTACCATGTAAACAATTAAGTAACGAATGTTAAGAAAATATATACTTGGAGTTTACATTCTGCAGTATAATGATGATTGCACTTATTACATAAAAATTATTATTTTTGTTTAACATTCGCATCTTAATATTTTACTATATTTATAATTCAAATTATTATAATAATTTATAGTACAATTTTTCTATATTTAAGATAACTGTACATACATATGAAATTAATGTTACTTTAATATTATAGCAGTAACAACCATAAAAATGGATTAACCATAATTTTTAATCATATATGCAATTATAACAAAAATACTTTTCTCTCTCTATCTAGTCTTAGCGTGAAAGTTTTCCTTAGTTTAGACGTTCGAACATTTTTTTTTTTTTTTTTCAGAAATCTACATCCTTTTCTTATAATTTCTCATATAGGTATAAATTCTGAAATATTCTAAAATTTCTCATTCTATATAATGTCAAGAAAACTGACTTAAACTTTTTGAAATTTTTAATGATGAAAATGATTCTCTTATTTTTATATATATGTAAGAATTTATAATTTTTTTAATTTATGAAAGTTTCTCGAAAGTCGTGTCATTATAAAAAATTTGTATTTAATTCCTGAATAATTAATATTAAGAAAACAAAATTTATTTTGAATTAATTAATTGTAAATGTAAACTGAAATATATAGATACGCGAAACATTATATAATACAAAATAATATAATGTTGAATTTTTGCATATAATAGAAATGAAATTTCGCGCGGATTCAATTCGATCCGATAAAATTTTTTATTCCAATTGACAAATTCCGATGATTTTCTTATTAATTATTCACAGAATCATATTTTAGTTAGGGTACTTTTAAGTCGGTGAGTAGTTTAGGTCGATAATCGATATATACGATACAATTGTTATCCACGCAATTATCTACGAATCTAACCTCAAAAATAAACTACGCTTCTCGTGAGCGTATAAAATACACACAGAAAAGACATGCGCATATTTCGTGTAAATATTTCATGTTCGAGACGGTTTGTGAATTATTCCAGAATTCACGGAAAATAAAGTGTTTGTTGCTTTGTTTAAATTAAAAGAAATACATTGAAGTGATTATTTCCAGATTTAGCAGTGGGGTACCGGTTAGTTTCTACAAATTATATATTTTTATTCAGTTTCTACAAATTTATATATTTGTATTTATTACGTTAGTAACCAAATCTAGAATTAAAATTTCATAAAAATAATATTTGCATAAAATTAGACAAAATATATTTCATTATTTATCTGTATAATTAAGAATATTTTATATTTATTAGTTTACATTATGACAGTAATATCTTTTTATTCTGTTTCTCATATAGGAGCAACTAATTATGAACTGCTTCACCATTCTAAGATTTAAACACTGCACTTTAAACAAAAGTCTAATAGAGCACTGTTTAACACGGTACATACCCATGTGTCAAGCTAGATTCTATGTCACAGAAAGTGAAAATCGTTACAGACAGCGTATCAGCCCAAAGGAACGAACACAAAAGAAAGCATTGCGAATACGTATAATGCAAAATTTTAAACATACAAGAAGAAAAGTAGAAAAAATTATCGAAAGGGAAAATATTTGGACAATACCCAACTTGCTTTGCATGGGTCGTATAGTAACTTCACCGTTTTTAAGTTATTTGATCCTGTCACAAGATTATCAGGTATTTTAAAGAAGCAAGAATTAAAATTTGTTAATATTTTGATAAAAAATATTCGTTTTTTGATATTTTTCAATTTATTAATAATATAGGATTAATATGATTATATACTATATATAATATATATAATATGATTATATACTATATATATAATATGATTATATACTATATATATAATATGATTATATACTATATACAAAATCATGTAATTTATATAATTGTTTATTAATAATAATATAGAGCTCAGAAAACAAAAAAATTTAATGAGGTAAAATAAAAACTTTAATAAGTTTAATTAAATCAAAGTAAGGATATAATATATTTTAACAAAGATTGTTTATTAAACATATATTATGGAGTAACTTCATGGAGAAATTGCAAAAATGCATTTAATTTTGAAATGGATACTTAAAGGATGTTATTTTGAAAATATAATTTTGATAAAGCAAATGTTATTACATTCTATATCTCGATTTAATTAAAATTGATTTAATAGCTTTTAAATTTTCCTATATTTTTTGATCCATCTTTTAGAAGAAATATAAACTGTCATAAAAAATTTGTTGTGTTAATTTTCTATGATTGATTTTATTTGTTGCAACTAACATATGTAGAATATTAGATTATCTTTAACAATGTCTATACCATGGCGCAGATAGCGCTGTGGTTGCTTGCATTTGCAGGACTGAGTGATTTAGCAGACGGTTGGATTGCACGCACTTGGACGTCGCAGGCCTCGAAACTTGGAAGCTTTCTGGATCCAGTTGCAGACAAGTTACTTGTTGGGACGCTCTTTCTCTCTCTGGCATGGGTCGGTTTGATACCAGCTCCTCTCACCTGTCTCGTTGTCACACGTGACATTGTTCTAGTAACCGCTGCGTCTTACATTAGATATCGTTCCTTACCTCCACCAGTAAGTATTATGTATTTATTAATTCTATTATATACTCTCTCTATTCAACAAAAAATAAGGAACACTTTTGACGTCAAAATTGCGCAATATTCAAAACACCGTAACTTGGTAAAAAAAATCATTGCAGACAAAAAATCAAAAGAATATTTGAAAGTTTGAATATTTGAAATCTCTACTTTCGAAATCAGTAATTGATATTTCAATCTGTCTGATCCTTTACGAAGCTAAAATCACTTTTGCTTCAACGTTTGATAACTCAATGAAAAAAAATCGTACAACATTCAGGAAAAAAGCAAATTGAAGGTAAAGATTCACTCTTTTAACTGCTGTAAATCGCATTTTCGTGTGATTTTTACTTCATGTCATAGACCTTTGTAAAATTTGTACAAAATTTTCAGATTTGACGAATATCTATTTGTATCTATATATAGCTCCAATTTTGAACGTGTCCAAAAGTGTTTTCTATTCTTTGTCAAGTAGTGTATATCAAAAGTTGTTCGAACATATTGATGATTAATTTATTAAATGATTAATTCTGATACGATATAATTTTAGAAAACCTTAGCGAGATATTTTGACCCTACACACGCTACTGTACAATTAGCACCGACTTTAACAAGCAAGCTAAATACTGGGATACAATTGTCTCTGGTTGCTGGAACGTTGGCTGCTCCAATTTATCATTTCGTAGATCATCCGATCCTACAATGTCTGTGCTATATAACAGCATTCACAACAATCGCAGGAGGTGTCAGTTATTTGTTATCAAAAGATACATATAAATTTTTGAGGAAGAGAACTCCGACTGGGACATCATCTTAGACTTAGATTCTATTCATTATACATATGTATAATATTATATGCTCGAATTTATTATTTAGATGGTATATATTACTTCTTTTTGTATTATTATATCTATCGTTTTATGTACAGAAATTAATAATTCTTTGTTAATTTTGACATCTTTTGTAAAAAAAATTACTCTTCTACAAAATCCTATATACAAAGTATATACAAAGTTTGTATATACAAAGTTTTGTAAAATATGATATTTGAAATGATAAATTGAGTATTTTTATTATAGGAGAGAGAGAGAGAGAGAG